GGAGGACCCGCCTGTGAGCTCGCCTCTCAGACCTCGTGCAGGGAGGGCTGGGACCAAACCCGCGGTTCTCTTCTCCGGAGACGAACCCGACCCATCTCCCGGCAAGGCCAGCCCCCGGCTCTGCCTGCAGCCACACGCGGGGCCCGCACACGCCAGGCCCATGATTTGTGAAGGGGGAGCAATGCCCCCAGAGGGAGGAGGACCACGTGGGAGGGAGGCTGACACACGCACCTCCACCAGCCTGGGCTGCCGATGGCTTTGCTGGCGCAGGTGCCGGGCACGGCAGCCTCCAGGCCAGCCCCCCAGCCGGCCCCCAGTTAGATGGGGAGCTGGCTCTATGTGCTCCCCAAAAGGCCACGGTCTCAGCCCTGGTTTCACAGACCCCTTGATGCTGGGCCCAGGCACGCACATGCCGCAGCCCACGCCCACTGTGACCCCCAGGCGCAACCCCCAACTGCTCTGGGGACCAGGCTGCATCTGGTGGAGACAGCGCGGCCTGCGTGGCGCGACCCGTGCACACCTGTGCGGACCCACGGCGTGTCCAGTCTCTGGGCAACCTTCCTGCACAGACCTCAGCCAGCAGGCCCCCCCTGACCTGGCCATCCCACAGGCCTCATCCTGGCTCCTTCGCACGACCAGCCCTGACAGCGCCTGCGGGGCTCCGGTGGATGAGCCCGAGCGGCAGCAGGGGGAGGACCTGCCTGCAGGGGCGCGGCGGCTAGAGCTCCTGGGACTGCGCGGACTCCATGGACGCCGAGAGCCGGGCCACCACGCGGGCCAGCGCCCTGTTCTCAGCCTGCAGCTGGGCGTTCATCTGCTTCAGGGTTTGGATCTGTTTGAGCTGGTGGAGGTTCTGCAGGGACACGAGGCACGACAGAGAGAGAGAGACAGACAGACAGACCAGGAGATGAGAGCGGGCAGAGGCCGCACGACTCGGTTAGTCTGGGTTTGCATGCGAGAAAGGAGACGAGAGGAGCAGGGACGGAGGAAAGCGGAGCCTGCTCTCCCGCGGAGGCAGCCATGCGCACGCACGGATCGGCGCCACAGCCACCTGCTTGCTCTCAGGGCGACACCTGTGGCTGGGCCCGCGGGCTCGGAGCTGTGGGTGCGGTCGAGCCAGAGCCTGGGACCCTCCATGGTCATGGCCAGGAGATGGGGACCCAGCGTGTCCTGGTGAGGCCAAGGCCCGAGCTGCCCCTCTGTCTCCCCCCGGGTCCCTGTGCCGGCTTCTCTGTCTGGGTCCTGCTTCACCTCGTGACTTTTTTCTCTAAAGCAAAGAGTAGCCTGAGAGGTATTTTCCGGGTGAAGCGGCTGCTAGAACTGGAGGGACACGTCCCATGGACGGTCCTGACCCGCACGTGGCTGTCGGCATCGTGGAGGTCAGGCGCCCCAGCTCCATCAGCTCACGCTGGGCTGGCGCTCATGTCGGGGTGCATGTGCACGAGGAACAGCCTCACGTCCCAGCTTCGCGCTGCGGGACCCCCTGGGACACGTAAGGGCCTGCTTACTGCCTGACCCGCGGCCGCCACTCCTGGGCGCAGAAGGACTGGCATGTGAGGGCTGTGTGGAGGCAGACAGAACCTGTGGGCTGCAGGGGCCACAGGAGGGTCGCCAGGACCACACAGGAGCGTCTGCCACCCCAGAGATGAGGACAGAGATGGAGGGTGAGGGGAAGAGCAAGGAAAGGAAAGAGGCACGAGGGGGACAGAGAAAAGAAACAGCACAGACAACACACGGAATCTCTGTCCCCCCAGGGACCCAGCTTGGGAAACGGCGGCACCGAGCAGCCCCGAGTCGCCATTGGAGGGCCAGGACCAGCAGCCGCCCCCGGCCGGCCGCAGGGAGGACAGAGCAGGCTCGGGGGCTACACATGGACACACCCAAGGGACGGCGGGGAG